GTGCTGGGATTACAAGCGTGAGCCACTGAACTTGGCGTACTAATTTTTTTTAAGCCTTTTTTCTGAGTTATTTATTAGCTTACTAAATTGGATAGGGCTAGATGTCCCACACACTTTGGGAGGCTGAGGTGGGAGGATCAACTAGCCCAGCATGTTGGTGTGCACCTGTAATTCCAGCCACTTGGGAGTAGAAGGCTTGACTGAGTCCAAGAGGTTGAGGCTGGAGTGAGCCGTGATTGTGCCACTATACTCTAGCCTGGGCAACAGAGTCAGACCCCCTACCTAAAAAAAAAAAAAAAAAATTGAACAAAACTTCTTTCTTCACCTAGTATCTCCAAAATGTTGAATCCCGATCTGTTGTCATTGCCAAGGTACATTCCCTTCAGGCCCAGGGACTATCAAGGAAGAGGCAGACATGTGAGATTATAAGGGCTGTTTTTATTGGGAGGGACAACAAAATGATGTGAAATTATGTGACTTATGTAACAAAACCTCTTATGTAACAAAACCTCTTTTGCTCTCCCAAATACCAGTGTATGGTATAACACAAAAGTGGTGGAACAAATAGATTTGTCAACTATAAAACAAATCTGACAATTTAGACCTTAAGAACCAGGCATTTCTTGAATTTAATTTTGTTAAGCCTGTAGGATTGACTGGTGTCACGGGTGAGATGCAAAGAACTGCACAAATATTAGATTAGGAAAATGGATTCTTTAGAAAGTAGGTAGGCGCAAGAGAGAAAAAAGGGTCATCCACCTCCCCCAATCTGGTGAAGGTGCCAGAGCTTAGAGGAAAGCATGGCTCAGCCACAGGTCAACGAAAGAATGGCCGGGCTAGAGCTTAACAATGTATGGCCACCACCATTTGAGGCTGAATAATTTTTAAACCTGTCCTTTCATGGGGGAAGATCTTTAAGGTGATTGGGTGGTGGTCTGTTTATGTCTTCAAGAAGGGGCCAGGTAAGCACAGGAAATGTGATTGATGTCTCGGTGATTGACGGCAAGCCAAGAGGTATAGATCAGTCGCATAACTGTTGCCATGGTGATGGTGTCTGTCTGTCACCTCCCTGATGATCAGATGGATGGGCGGGCCAGCCACATAGATGAGGAGGGCAGGTCAAAGAGCTGAAAGACAAATTCTTTAGGAGATGTTGATCTCATTGTCTTCTGACTCACCCTGGGTTCCAGGAAAGGATTATTGTGGTGTGTGATACTTGAAAAATTCCATTTTGGGTTGTGTCCTTTCAGATATATACCCTCCTCAGTATGTTATACCTATGGAAACAGAATGGCCAGAAGAAAAATTAAATTTATTGAATTCTGATTCAATATTAGTTCTACAATCCTCAATCAATATTTATTATAAGGTGCAAATGAACTTTGATAAGGAAGATAAGCACATTTAAGTCTGATTAAAGAATATAATGTTGCACATAGGGAATCTTTGGCCATTAAGTTGTTTATTGCCTTGTGATTCTACTTATAACCTTCTTGGATGTATAAGCTTCAACACTTTCAGGACACTTTATGCTATGTTGCCATTTTGTGTCTCTTGTAAGTGCTATCGCAGATACTGGGGGGTGGGGAGAACAAAATCAAAAGCTGAGATCATAATAGCTAGCAAAAAACATCAGGTCCACGATGTTGTTTCAGAATGAACCCCTGGGCTGACTCTCTCTTACCCCCGAAACAATTGACTATAAAACCAAGGCACACCATATCCTTCCCCGTGATCCAGCATTACTAATATTGAAACTATTGCCACAAGTAGACAATGCTAGGAATGAGCCTTTCTAGTGCTGTGAGGCTTCCTGTTTTTTAGACTGTACATGCATTCCACGAAGTGATTTTTGACCAAGAAGGGGGACTAAGAACTAAATGTGACTTTTTTCATTTCTTGCCAAAATTCCTAACTAAGGAACCTGGGGAATCACACCCTACAAAACATAACATCTCATCAGATGGGTTTTTATGAGCCCTATCTAATGTGGCTTACTTTCCAATCTGACTCTGGCATAACGTCACATAACAGATAAAGAAGGAAATCAAAATATTTTATGACTCTGTAAGGCTATCACATTGGGAAATTTGCATCTGTATAAAATCTCTTTCTAGGGAATCCTAGAATCTGAGCACCTTTTAAAGACACCTTAATACCTATTATCTCTGCTGTTTAGCACTTTCACCTACAATCAAGAACCTTGGCTTCTTCAACGCCCCGCCCTTTCCTTTTTTTTTTTTATTTTGAGCTAGAGTCTCCCTCTGTCACCCAGGCTGGAATGCAGTGGCACACTGTTAACGGCCACCCAGCCTCGAACTACTGGGCCCAATCGATCCTTCCACCTCAGCCTTCCAAGTAACCGGAACTACAGGCACGGGCAACCATGCCCGGCTAAGTTTTTTTGATTTTATTGTAGAGACAGAGTCTCGCAAAGTTGCCTAGGCTGGTCTGGAACCTGCAGGCTCAGCTAATCCACTCGCCTCGGCCTCCCAAAGTGCTGGGTTTACAGACTGAGTCACCAAACCCGGCCGCATTCCTTATTTTAACTAACCAATTCTTCTACTAAATTCAGTTCTTCCCACAGAACTTAACTCTTTTATCTAATTGCCAATCAGAACATCATTGAATCCACCTATTACCTGCAAGCCCCCCTCCCCCCCTCCCGGCACTTGGAGATGTGCCACTTTCTTGAGACAAACCAATGTGAACCTCACATAGATTGATTTATGTATCATCTGTGACTTCCATCTTTCTAAACGTGTATAAAGTCAAGTTGTAATTCAACCATTTGGGGCACATGTTCTCAAGACATCTTGGGATTGTGCCATGGGTCAGTCACTCACATTTGGCTCAGAATAATCCTTTAAAAATTCTTAGGTCAGTGGGATAGTCCAGTGCCATGAGTAAGATGAAAAGAACTGCACAGAAATTAGATTAGGAAAAATTCTTTATTTTAAAAGTAGATTAGCAAGAAAGAGAGAAGAGATTCTCCTCCCCAGACTGGGGAGTGGGGAGAGTTTAGAGAAAAGCAAGAACGGGCTGGGTCAGAGTCTAACAAAAGCATGGGAATGACCACTTGAGGTTGAATGCTTTTAAGGCTTTCCTTTGGTGGGGGTAGGTCATTAAGGTGACTGGGTGGTGATATGTCTGATGTCATCACAAAGGGGACATGTAAGCACAAGGACTGTTGCCATGGTGATGATGGGGTCTGTCTGTGTCACATAGTCCATGAAGGGCTACTTTATGGCTGAAAGACAAATACTTGGAATAGAAAAGTAATCAGCAAGGGAGGGTTGAAAGGCAATCATCAATAACTGCCTCTGGCTGCACTTTAGCTAAATTATTTCATTTTGCTGTTTCACTCTTTCAAAAATATTTTACAGAATTTGGCATTTTTCATCAATAGAGACTGCAAAGAGAAGTCCCCTCTCTTCCTACCCCTGGCAGTGCAGCACTATATGAGCACATGAGATAAACATATGACACTTGACTCTGTCACCCCTAGCCCACCTCCCTTAATGTAGTCACAAACTCTTCCCCAGATCATGTCATTGTCTTTATGCGACTTCACTTGCCTCTTCCTGAGTGGCCTTCATTTCCCTTATTTGTCATTCACACTTATCTGGGGCCTTAGGGAGGTTTTGATGATAGGAGGGGACAGGGGCAAGTCCCTTCATTCACACTGCACACTTGACACATCCAAACACTCACAGACACATCTGATCACATGCACACACCAAGGTGTCTTTTCTGAACAAATTATATAACATCTCCACCCCTTATATGTTGTACTCACTGATCTGTAATCAGTTAATTTAGTGGTCAGCAAATTAACGGTCAGAGATGTCTTCAGACACCTTCTTGCTTCACGAACCTGGAGCTGTAACAGAGTTCAGTCGATGGACAGTAGTGATGGTTCCACAATATTATTAATGTACTTAGTCACACTGACTATATACTCAAATATGGTTAAGATGATAATTTTATGTGTTCTAGAATACCAAAAAAAAAAATAGATGCTCAAACAAATATAATCATGTTGCTGGAACAGCCAAGAGACATGATATCTACACTAAAAAGTAGCCTCTGCAGGCATGGTGAGTTCAGTCTCTGCACAACCCAAGCCAAACAATTGACTCTTGACAAGTTGCTGGGAGACGTCACCCAAAGTCTTGAAAAATCCTGCCTGATAGTAGTGTCTTTGTAAATAAGGGAACTGTGGGCCCCACCACATACTTTATCAATGGTGTGAGTGAGACTAGAGGCTTTAGGCTGTATCAGTCTGACTTCAGGAGGGGCTGAAGACTGAGTAACTGAGGTCAGCCATGAGAGTGCTCAAGTCTAGATTACCAACTTCAACAAATCCCAGGACATAAGAATGGGTTGAACTTCCCTGGTTGGCAATACCCTCTACTGTGTTACACATTGCTATTGGGAGATGTAAGCACTCTGTACCAATTCACTGGGCGAGAGCAGCTGGAAGCTTGCTCCTGGTTTTACTGGACTCTGCCTCATGTGCCTTTTACCTTGGATGACTTTCATCTGTATCCTTTGCTGTGATAAATGGCTTCACAGTGAGTGAAACAGCTGTTTTAGGTCTATGAGGTCTTCTAGCAAATCTCTGACCCGAGGGTGGTATTGGGGACCTAACAGAGTCTCCTACCTCACTCAGGCACCGGGCTGATTACCAGCAGAAGAGTATTTTCATCCATACCAGGAGTCAGACTTATGCATGGACATTGTCTCCAACCCAGGGAGCCAGTGGTGGATCTCTGAGGGTGGTTAGGTGGAAGCTGTCACTTTCTAAGTGTGAGTATACCCATATCTCAAGTAAAGTCAAGTGGTCAGACATGGATGGGTGTGGCAGGTGGAAAGGCTGAATTCACTCAGGTTGGGAGCAACCAACACAGCAGGGCCCTGTCAGGGGGCCCAGGATGGACTTAAAAACCAAGCGAGAGCCACTGAACTGGTTTATTAAATATCAGGACCCCAGCTGAGGAGCAGATTGGACTTTATGTCCCCCCTCCACGGGGTACAGCACAAAGCTGGTAAGGGGAGGGGGTCACCAGAAAGTTTTGGACACCGTGGTCGCTGGGCTGGGGCTGTCCAGCAGGCACGGAGAAGCTGAAGCGCTGCAGGAGGCAGGTGAAGAAGAGGAAGAGCTCCATGCGGGCCAGGGGCTCCCCGAGGCATGATCGCCGGCCTGTGGTGGGTGAGAGGGGTTCGGTGAACCTAGGTTCCAGCCTCCAAGACTACCAGGAAGGTGGCAGAGAGCTGGGAACCCCACAGGTACCTGCTGAGAAAGGCATGAAGGCTTCTTGCTTCACGAAGTGGCCCTGGGCATCCAGAAAGTGTTCGGGGTGGAAGCGGAGGGGCTTCTCCCAGACAGCCTCATCCTTCAGCACCGACGACAGGTTGGTGAAGAGCGTTGTCCCCTGTAAAGAAGCCTGGCATCACTGGGGGCTGGGCTACAGGCTGCCAGAAGCCCTGCCACCAAAGACATGGAAGCATGCACACTGCCTGGCACACAGCCAGACTCTTGTAACTAACCCTTGTCTCAGAAGCTTCTGGGCTCCCACTGTGACCCTATGGCAGGGCAGAACCACACCTTTCTGGGGAGCCCTCATTGGCTCCTATCCCTGCAGGAACTAGTTCTGGAGTCACCAGCAGGTAGCACGTGATTATCTGGGTGAGGAATTTCCAGGCCTACCTTAGGGATGAGGAAGCCTTGCACTTCAATGTCGCGGGAGGTCATGTGGGGCACACCTAGGGGGATGATGTCCGCAAAGCGCTGCACCTCGTGAACCACGGCGATGGTGAAGGGCATGCGGGCCTGGTCAGCCATCTCTGGACGCCGCGCCTGCCCTATCACTTCGTCGATCTCCCGTTGGACACGGCCTGGACAGACAAGCGTCCCCACAGTGGGTCTGAGCTTAGCGAGTACGCAATGACCCACTCCTGGATTCTGTGTTGGGAGGTCGCTCTTACACAAACCTGAACAAGCCTGTGCTTGGAGCCACAAGTGTCCCAACTAAATTCAGTACCTTTCCTCCCTTGGCCTCCCCCACAGACCCCCAGCTGAACTCACGCTGCACTTCTGGGTGCAGAATCATGAGCAGGAGGGCCCAGGTCAGTGTGGTCGAGGTGGTCACCATCCCGGCAGCAAACAGGTCAGATACTACGACGCGCAGGTTCTCAGCATTGAAGCTGCTCTCAGGGTTCCCCTTGGCCTGAGCCAGGTAGACAGGATGGGCTCAGGACAGAGGGAGGAAGCCCCCACATGACCTCCCATTCTGCGCCTTTCAGCCCAGGTGAACCTCACAGGATGTTGCACCTGCCCCACCTTGACTCCTCCTCTCACTCCCCTGGAACCCTCAACTCCCCACTCTCAGTCCATTGCCTGGCTGGGGCCCCTCACCTTCTCCACCTCAGCCAGGAAGGCGTCAGTCAGGTCTCGAGGTGGCTGAGCCAGGTCCCATGTCATCCTGTGCTCTGTCACCAGCTCATCCAGCTGTGCCATGAAGACTTTCTGACTGTGGAAGACCTTGCCAGCCAGCCCAGGGATGTGCAGGAGCACTGGGACAAAATTTAGCACCTGCACCAGACACAGAAGGGGGCCTGGGTCTCCCCTGCTCCAGAGTCGCCAGTCTCAGGCCCCAACCCCACCACGTGATTCTAGAGTCTGTCTGTCCCACCATTGGCCTGGTTCCTCCCCAAATGCCAGCCTCCAAACTCTCTCATGGCCCTTGGCAGCCAGAATAAGGAGCCTAAACTCCAAACCTCCTGGGCTCAGGGGTTGGCCCTCTGCTGGGTCTCACTGACCCTGGGCCCACTCTCCCGTGGATGGAGATGTCCCTCCTCCGGGCCTTCCCTCTTGCAGTGGGTTTTCCTGGAATGTCTTTTCCCCAAAACTCTGTGAGTAGATCCTCCCCCACGGAGCGCTAGGTGCGGTTGGAGACGCAGTCCCCTTCTGACCCTCTGCTCCCCGCACCTGGCGCAGTAACCCCGCCTCCTCCTTGAGTCCCTCCTCCATCAGTTTCATTAGCTTAAGGAAGAGCCGATCGTCGTACTCGAAGCGCCGCCCATAGGTGAGGGAGGCGATCACGTTGCCCACCGCTTTTTCCAGGAGGGCGTTCGGGCTAAAGGGGCGGCCTGGGAGACGGAGATGCTGGTCAGGAGTCGCCCTCTTCTCGGGTCCCCAACGCCCCCCCGTCTCGTGCCCCTCTGGACATCACCCACCGGCGTGACTGGCGAAGGCGGCACAGAGGCAGGAGGCCTCCTCGGTCACCCACTGCTCCAGCGACTTCTTGCCCAGGCCGAAGTAGCGCAGGGTGGACACGGAGAAGCGCCGCTGCTCGCGCCAGGCGTGGCCGTAGCGCGCCAGGATCACCCCTGCGGGCAGGGACGTGGGGGGCGGGGCGCGCGCCAAACGCGGTTACTTCGGGCCTGGCCCCGCCCTGTGCACCGCCCATTCCGACGCCCTGGGCACCCAAACTCTCCCGGCAGCCCCCTGCCCCGCCCACTCGGGCACTCTCCGGGCCTGCCGCCCTCTCTCGCCCCCTCCAGCCGGAGACAGGATCTGCTCCGCGCTCCCCCGCGTCCCACATCACTCTCCTGTCGGCCCCACCTTGGGTCTGCACGCCCGACCGCCTTTCCACCCTTCCCCGTCTCGGCCACACTAAGCCTGGTGCACACGCACAGCCACCGTGTCACCGTGTGCTCCAGCGGGGAACGGCGCCTGCCCTGCGGTGGGTCCCGCCCACTCGCCTCCCTGCGGGTCTCCGCAACCTCCCGGGCCACTCTCCTGAAGCCCCGCCCACACTCCTCCTTTCCTGCAGCGCAGGTGGTTTCCTGTCCTCCCTGGCCTTTCTCTCTGCCGCACGTCCACGATCACGCGCCCACCCGGTGCCGCCGGGACGGCCTCTTTCCCCACCGCCGCTTGCCTTGGGATCGCGGCCCGAAGCCCAGGTGCTCGTAGACCGGCGAGGGTGGGCGGTCCGCGGTGTCCTCGCCACGGGTCACCAGCGCCTCCCGCACGGCCGCCGGCCCGTTGAGCACCACCACCGGCGTCCAGGCCAGCTGCAGGCTGAACACGTCCCCGAAGCGGCACCGCAGCTGTAGACGGAGGGTCAAGGCCGAGTTCCCACCAGGCTCCACGATCCACTCCCAGCTAGCAAGCCCCGGTCGCTGGTAGTGAGCTCCGGCCAGGAGGAGACCTGGCGTCGCGATCGTGGTGGGTCACCTCCTCCGTGGTCGAGAAACTCAGTTTGGAACCGCCACCCAGCTGTGACCTTGCCAGAGTCACCAACGGGATCAGCAGGCCCCAGGTAGCTTTCCATTTTACAGAGGAGGAAACTGAAGTTCACAGAGGTGAGTCAAGAACCCACCATGGCAAAAGATTTGAACCAGGTCACTGCACCTCTCTCAACTTGACTCTCCTGATTTTCATGGTGCTCAGGAACCCGACCCGCTTCCATTCAAAGACGTTCCCTTCTGGTATCATCAAAGGAATTTCAGTCTTCCTAACTTATATGTTGTCCAACTGTCCTGGAAGTCTGGCAAGTACTCTCCACCAGGCCTTTGCCCTCTAGACCTTGGCCTTTGCAAAGTCCAAACTGTCCTTCAGGCCCTGCTAAATGTCCTCCCCCATGAAGCCTGTGAATCTTCCCCCTCTTCTCCACCCACAGCTAGTAGAGCCTGTGACTTCACTCACTACCCACATCTGCTGCTGGGGCATGGAGGTGTTCCCAGGACCTTTGCCACCCTCCAACACCACCTCCCTTACCTTGCTGAAGCAGTATGGTAAGTTCTGGAAGTCCACATGTAGCAGGTTGCCCGCCCCAGGCACTGGCATGGGACCTGGCGGGTAGCGTGCAGCCCAACGCTGGCGTCGGTGCATCAGGTCCGCCAGAAGCAGGAAGATGGCCACCCCCACGGCCAGGGGTGCCAGTGTGTCCCCTGACAGCAATCCCATGGCTGCCTCACTGCCCCCGGCCTCCTCTGGGCACACCTGGCACACCCCAACACACCAGGCACAGAGGGCTGGGCAGGACACCCTTACCACACTCTGAGTGCTCGACTAGTCTGAGCTGTCCCCTTATAAAGGGGACTGACACTGGCCTTTGCTCTCTGCTGTGAGCCAGCCTGCAGTGTTGACTGTGCTGCCAGTGAGTGCAGGGCCAGGACAGGGCGGGGTGTGCAGTGCAGAGGTCCTTGTTTCTTCTGCCCTTTTTCAAGCAAAAATAAAATTATAAGCTCCCCAACCTAGTGAACGGACATGTCTCTTAAATTCCCAGGAATAGATTAGAGTTGTTGAAAGCCCTTACAAATCAGGTGTGGTGGCTCACACCGTAATCCCAGTGACTAAAGCTGAAAGGGTAGACCAAGGGAAGGAAGCCATTTTTTAATCTTGTTCTTAAACCCTGATACAATGATGAGAAAGTGGAAGCTATGTCCTAGAAATTCATTTTTTATTTTGTTTAAACCCTAACACAGTGATGAGAAAGTAGAAGCTGTGTCCTGGAGAAATACAAACTCTAGGTGAAGATTAATTTTGCTGACCGTCTTTTCAGAAACACAGACTTCTTAAGTATGACTGGTACCAGGCTATTGTAATTTGTCTTCTTCAGAATCCCAGACTTCTCAAGCATAACCCATATCAACCCACTGTATACTCAGTGCCAGTGCCTGGTGACCAGGAGCCCCCTCAGGGTCTCCAAAACATCCACAAGTGGTCAACAAGGAAGTCACGGCAGTCATGTCTACCTGATTGCAACATCTCCAGGGGAAAGGATTTAAGCCAGGGCCCCGGGGGGCTATGGTGCCACACTCATCTAGAGTGTAGGCCTGCTTCCTGTCTGTGAACCTTTTTAAAATAAATCTTTTCTTCTTTTACCTCTTTGTGTGTTGCAAATCTTTGCATTACTCGGACCTCTGGTTGCCTGCGTGCATCATGCTGGCTCCAGCGGTGCTGCACCTCCCTATCCACTCATCCACCCTCACCCTATCCCTACCCTAACATTTTCTGGAGGTCCCATCAAGATCCTTATCTTTATCTCTCTCTCCCTCTCTTCTGTCCTTCTTTCCTAACTGGTGATCCTCTGTGTACTATGTTGGAAGCTGGTAGCAACTGAAAACTCTGGCTGAGGCTACACTTCAGCATGCTGGAAGGCCCCAGGGAAAGACAACAGACCGCTGCAGCCCGATAGGGTGAGGGACTAAGGATAACTCTTTACTTCCTTCTAGCCAAGATTTCTGAGTTTCCCCATGGACCGGGCTGGAACTCAGAGGACAACTGATGGTCTCTGCCTAGGGCTACTCCCTAGGGAGGCAAGAAGGTCCCCAAAAGAAAATTCAGACTGCCAGCTCCCGTACGGGTAGGAGACAAAGTACGTGGTTTCTTTGCTCTTTTCTTTTCTGGTTGGTAAAGTAACTCCACGAAGGACCTTGAAACTCCAACAGCTGCATGCCTTTCTGTGCCTCTGGTGAGTCATCCCTCATTTATCATCCACACAGCCATATATTTGGATGTGCTCGTGGACCCTCTGGCTTTGCTGTTCGGATGAGTTTCTGGGTCTCTCGGGCTTCTCCTGGTTTCATCTTGGGAGATACCTAGCAAGAGTCTGGGACCTAATTGACAGAAGTCCCAGTCCTGGTACCAGGCCTTCCAAGACATGGTGGAGCATAGCGTTCTGTGAGCTCAGTGAGCACAGGGATGGGAGGTCTCTCTGTCCCTCGTGACTCACATCCTTTGTGCTGATTCCTTTGAGCCTGTTGGGGACGCCCGGCAGGGGATCTGGATAGTTAAGGCCCAGGAACAAATCCATGAAACCAGGAGACCATCCCAACAGTATCCCTGTTTCCTTTTACAAGAAACATTGGAAACTATAAGCTAGGGCATGGTGAAACCTGGCCAGAAGGTGGTTCCCTAGCTCCTAAACACTTCTGCAGCTTGATTTGTACTTAAAAAGGAATGACAAATACCTTGAAATCCCATCTATTCAGGTCTTTTATGAGTTAGCCCACCACCCAGATATCTGTTCCCCTCGCCTTTTTTTGTGTGTGTTGGCTCCCCAGACCCCATTGCCCAAGACTCATCAAAGGATACTGATACTGCTGACTTAGCCGCCCCTCCCTCAAAAGATTTTTCACCTCTTTCATACTCTCCTATTCCTTTTACAACTCCGATTCCTGCTTTCCCTCTAACAATTCAAATGCTGACCCAGCTGGTTTAACTGTCTCTCTTGTCATCTGCTTTTGCTACTGCACTCTCCATCAGTTTTCCTTCCTTGTCTTCCTTCTTGTCCTCCACCTTTACCTGCAGAGGAGGGGCTGGCATCTAAGGCCGTGATGCCTAACCCTGGCCTTCAGTCTCTCTTCTCTCTTACCTTCGGAGAAAGGGCTGACACCAAAGGCCACAGCACCTGACCCCAGCCTCCAGCCTCTTACCCCCTTTCCCACCACTCACTCCCTTTTCCACCACTTGATAATCCCCGTGGCAGCAGCCCTACTAGTTGCAGCAAGTCACCACCCCCACGTGTACTTGGAAAACCCATGCAGGTTTCCACATGGCTTAACATGTCTCTCCTCAGGGGGTAGCCGTGACAAAAAGATATTGGGGTTCTTGCTTGTTTGGTTTTTTAATATAATAAATCTCTCTCGAGTTATATCTCAACTGGAACTATATCAACCTTCTTCCCAGACGAAAGTAAAGGGATCATGTAAATTAATCCTATTAACTAACTACAAAAAAGATCAATTGTAATTTTAATCTGCTTTTCAAATCACACTTGCAAGTGCTCTAGTAAAATTTTACTTCCAACTTTACCATGTGTTAACATATTAGTGCTAAATAACACCACTGTTTGTTATATCAGGCTCACTAAAGTTGTATTTTATAAACAAAAGGTTAAATCTCTTGTTGTGCCTAACTAGCACCCTCTTATGAGACAGGTAAAGCTTTAAATGCTAAACACCTTGCATGACGTAATAAGGTTTGGGAACTGGCCATTCCCACCTGGTTAAGTCACTTTTACTAAGCCTAGTACTTCTGCTAGATGAATAAAATACTGGGTACTCTGTGTGAGCACAATGAGGATGGAAACTGATCACTCTCACTTAATTGTCCACTCCTTACAACTAAGACTACTATTTAGTAATTTATAAGAGTTTTTGACAACTTAGCCTGTTCATAATTATAAATAAGTTGGGACAGATCATTACACATCCATGTGGTCTGTTCACTCTAAAAGGTTTTACATCTGACTGTTACAGAGAAATGGTTTAAAAGTTTCATTTGTATAACCTATTAAAAGGAACTTTAAGGTTTTTTTTTTCAACCAGAGCAAAAAACAAAACAGTGCCAACATGGAGGGCAGCAGAACCAGAGGGCCAAAGAGGCATCACAATTGGCAGTCGCAATTAGCAACCAAAACTCCAAGTGCCCAGCAAAGACCTAGTAAAAACAAACCTGCTAAGGGGATGGCGTCCATTGCTTATGGGTACAGTCTGTGGGGGTACTCAAAGCATAGATGCCCTAAAAAGGCCTTAAACTCCTGAACCTTGTCCACTGGGCAGGCCAGAAAGCCATTGGGAAGCAGGTGCACTCTCTTCTGAAGAGAGGAGAGAACACTTGACTCACAAATGGTGGCCACTTATGGAGGCCTGCAAATCTGCTAAATCTGGTACTGGCTCACCATCACCCCAACAACCACCCAGGCAAATATTAGGGTGCTGGAACCCAAATTAATTTCTTAATTTAACACAGGTGCCAGCATTTGGGTCCTGGCCATCCATGCTGAAATCATATAGCCTTATCCAAAAGAATTTTCCCCTTTAAACAACAGAAGGGGGAAGAAAGGGACAAAATTTCAGTTAGCCCTCCCCCTGTCTTTGTTACAAAAAAAGTGAGGTTTTTTTCCTTTTCAAAATCTTTGGATGACTATCATTATTGGTGAAATAAATAGCTTTTACAATAACTACTGTAATTTTATGTTATGACATTATGCTTTTAAAAATTTTAATACTTAAACTCTTCAAGTTCTTGATTTAGTCTCTCTAGGGTGGTGAAGAAACAAGCCCCTGAAACCACATCTGCCCCACACCCTTCTCTTAAACTGCCTGCAGACCAGGCACAAACATTAATAATACAACATAGGAACCCTATCTATACCTGGGCTTCACCCTCTAGCATATCAATCATTGTGAAAGTATATCAGACCTATTATAAAAACAAAAGAAATCATTTTCTCTTGTCAATGTTTACCTGTTCTAAATTATTAATTTAAGCTACAACCTAACTACATGTCTCTAATATTTTCAATTTTTCTTTCTTCAGACTTTATCAAAATGGCTGTATTTCCTTGTTAAAGTACAACTATAGACAATTTACAAGGGAATATTTTGACTTACGTTGATAAATTAGAGGATTTAGCTAATCATATATACAATTTACAGGACTGCTTTTGCTTTTCCAGCATTGTTTCTGGGGCAATAGCCTTTTTCATCGTTCTTTGCTTATTAATTTTTTTCTGTGCTCTCACTCGGTGTTTTATTAGATCCAGATTGTATTTGGTTGAGGTCCCACTGCTTCCTATTCGTGCCCTTGGAAATAGATAGGTAGGGGACATCTCTATGGCCCACCTCAGCAGGAAGCAGTTATGGAAGATTGATCTTTGCCCCATTTCCCAGGATCATGAGGATATTTCCAAGAGTAGGAGTGGAAAATGAAAGGATGGAGCAAGAATGGGAGGCCATTTTTTAATCTTGTTTTTAAACCCTTACACAATGATGAGAAAGTGGAAGCTATGTCCTGGAGAAATACATTTTTTATTTTGCTCCTAAACCCTAACACAATGATGAGAAAGTAGAAGCTGTGTCCTGGAGAAATGCATACTCTAGGTAAAGATTAACTTTGCCAATTTTGTCTTTTCAGAAACACAGACGCCTTAAGCATGACTGGTACTGGCCTATTGTAATTTGTCTTTTTTAGAAACCCAGACTTCTCAAGCATGATCAGTATCGACCCATTGTATACTCAGTTCCTGGTGGCCAGGACCC